ACAACACAAATAGATTTTTGCTGTGTTTGTGCAGGAATGGTCACCAGATGGATAGATATTGAAGATAGACCACTAGATATTGAAGTGTTTGAAGTGCAGTATTGGTTCCTTCTGGGATGAATTATTGCAACTGGAGCGGGCTAAGAGCATCAAACACCTTTGTCCGTTTATACCAAATCCTAAAATTTTAGAAGAAGGAGACCAATTTATTGATGCACTGCCTGATGACAGAAGCAGCACCAGACCCTTTGTGGAGCTTTAGATCTTGAGTCTTTCTAACAGTAGCCAGCAAACATTATATACCAGGATCTACTATACAGTCTGGAGCTCTCACCTCAGAAATACAGAAGATCCCTGAATCACTACTACCAGTGTTTGAAAGCTCTAAGCTCAGAAACAAAACTAAAGTAATATCAACTACTGTCATGCCCTCTGCTGCCAAAGGGCGCTCCCACTCTGTCCCGTCCCTAGTTTCCTGTGCTTTGCTCTCCTTCCGGTGTCTCTCTCTCTGGGGCTATATACTGTATTTCCGGGTCACTCATTCCCCTTCGATCAGCACTGACGTTCAGATGTCCAAAGACCCGCCTAGCACCAGGTCGCCCCACGTCCGCTGCCTGAGGGCATAGGTTTCTTTAAGACTCCTGAACTGCTGAGCCCGGGCTAACCCCCGTCCCGCTGCTACACATAGGGTCTTTTTCCACTCTTCTGCCATTCCACAGTTCGTCCCTTCTGACATCCGTGACAGCAGCCATCACTAGTGTACAACTCTTTGCAAACGTTTACAAGGGAATATGCTCTGGTATGCGGGAGGAGGACGCTCAACGTATGAAATGGTCTTGTGGAGATAGCCCATGAGTCCTGGGTAGCGGACATCATCAGTTTGTGACTTTGTGATTCAAAAGGAACACACACTACACGCTACACAGAGGTGACTGATGGTGGCAATTAAAAAGGTGCTGCTCGTGAAGCATATGGCCATGTGGGACCTAAAGAGCTATCATGTCATAGCAAAACTATTACTATTCCACTCGAGTGAGACATTATTCTCTACAATGTTGGATTGTAGCCTAGATGGAAATAGAACTGCAACTGCTGAAGGCAGACAGAAGTGACCCATGGTAGATGGCAAATTTGGTCGCACAACCCATCAGAGTATGCAGGGGTGCCAGTTTGCACTGTGCAAGCCTTTCAAGAGTGCCATTTCTGTGGTAAGCAAGCCTGATTATAAGAAAGAAAATGGATGTCTTTACGTGCGGGTATACAGGAACACCAAAAACACCAGAGCAACACAAAGCAAATTACCCCACACAGAAAAGGAAGAGCTGCAGGCACAGAGATATTTTTTTCTATCACTTAGGACCATCTGCCATGTGACAGCAGTTAAAGCACAGGATCATTTAAGGGAGGGGATGCCATTTGGTTAAATAATGAGAGTGGATTACATAATTTGATCTGAAGGAAGGATGCAGCACAAAGATGGACAAGTCATGGGAAAATCCCATGATTCACCACCTAAACTGAATCAAGGTAAAAAGGATTTGAGTGCATGGACCAGGAACCAGAAGATACACAGCAGGATACCCTTGTGTCAAGCTGAGGTGAGACAACTGTCCCTTCCAGAGAGGAGTATTCACTTGCTAGCAAAGTGAACAAAGGAGAAGATATCTCTGTGCCTGGCTTCTACCGCACTATCCAAGAGTGTTGATTGCCTACAACAGTGGTTCTCAAACTGTGGTACGCATACCAGTTTTGGTATGCGGAGCGCTGCCAGGCGGTACGCCATATGTGTCACGATCACTACTCCTCCTCTTAAGGGCGCTCCAGCCCTTCCTTGTTCTGCCCCATTACCTGCACCTGTTTCTGATTTCCGTTCCCCCTTAAAAGCCAGATGCAGACGTCACCCGTGGTTCCTCATTGAATCCTGCTTCATGAGAACCCGGGGTCCTACTGCGTCTGGCTCCGCTTAGGTTTTAACCCTTTGTTCCTGATTCCTCCCGCCGGTCCTGACCCGGCTCCTGGTTTTTAATTCTTTCGGATGGATCGTCTGGCATTGGACTACTCTTCTGTTTTGGCTATCCTGTTTAGAATTTCGTCTTTGATGGTTCGCCCCGGACTCACTTCCCCCGGACACCTGCTCACCTTGGACACGCCCCCCTGTCTCCATACCCTCTCCTGCATGATTTTCTCCCTACTGTGTCCTCACCATCCAGATCGTGTCGTCTGCATAGGGCCCGGAAAGAACTGTTTGTTGACAATTTGACCCTGGAACTTTATTGTGTGCACTGAAAAATTGGGACTGGTTTTCAGATTTTCTGTTTTAATAAAATTAGTTTGTGTCGAATACGCAGCCTACGTACTACGATACAGCACATGCTAATACTTGAGTGGACACAAGAGCTACAATGTAATTCTATACCATTCTATAGGAATGCGTGTTACAAAGTAAGTGACCAATTGTATTTAAAAAAAGATATCTCCAGCAAATAGGGAGTTAGGAGAATGTGTGTGATTTTGGAACCAATGTTGTAAGCACAGGAAAGCATAGAAATGCATACTATGTACGCTGGCAATCTTGTGAGCACAGGAAAGCGTGATAGATAACAGAATAATATTGTCACGCCCCCTGCAGCCAGAGGGCGCTCCTTCTCTGTCCTGTCCCTAGTTTCCGGTCTGCTGTCCTTCCTGTCCCTCTCTTTCCCTTGGGCTATATATTTCCAGGTCTTGCACTCTGTCCTCGCTCAGCATTGATGTTCGGAGGCGCCCCACGTCCGCTCCCTGAGGGCATAGGTTTCTATACGGCATTCCTGAACTCTTTGCACTATGAGCCCGGGCCTTTTTCCCGTCTCGCCGCTACGCATATGGGTCTTTTTCTGCTCTCCTGCTCCCCACGGTTAGTCCCTTTGGACGTCCGTGACAAATATATAATATATAAGAACTGTTCTCGGTTAATATGAGAAAAATACACAGAGTGTCTCTGTGTTTCTCTCCCATGTGCATGAAATAAAAACTTCTTTTAACTTCTGAGACAAACTCCGGGGAAAAATGCAAGCTTGGGGACTGCTAAAGCAGGTAAGCCCCACACTACTTGTCAAGACTTTGTTTTCCATTGGCAAAAGAGCTGCCACATATTATGTGGAGAAAAAGGGGGAGAAAAAGCTGCTGAACAGCTCGACCTACTGCCCCCTCCGAAAGACACAGTCACTCATAGAATTATTGAAATGGCGGATGATGTTTAAAGTACACTGATAGAGCATGTTAAGAGGAGAGCACATATTTCAGCTTCTGAATGAATTTACCGAAGAGAATGGCATCAACTGGATAAAATGCGTCAGAGTTTGTACAGACAGTGCTAGAGCGATGACAAGCCGACACAGCGGTGTAGTTGCACGAATTAGAGAGGTTGCTCCAGATATGAACTGCAGCATCCACCGCGAGGCCTTGGCCATCAAGAAAATGCCTGACGATTTAAAATCTGTTAGACTCTGTTGTGAATTGTATCAAGGCTCGACCAATGAATTCACATCTGCTTTGTTCAACTACACAGGCTCACCACTCTCACTGTAATGGTGCTTTTTTATTGTTTATTTTTGATTGTTGTTGTTCCTTTTGTCATTCTGTAAAGCGCATTGAAAAGCCACCTTTAAAGGTGCTATATCAAATAAAGTTTATGATTATATTTATTATATGTGTAAGTGAGTGTGTCCACACACGCGCGCTCATGTTGGTCATTGAGATTTTCTGGGGATCCTGTGAGAAGATGACTTGTAGGTGGTACTTGGATGCTTTGGTTTTATCAGGGGTGGTACTTGGTCCAAAAAGTTTCTGAACTACATGCCTACAAGATAGAGGACTATTTGTCTGTTTCTGTAAAGTCTGTGCTCATGTTCACCTGTAAAAATAAACTTTGGAAGGGGGCAGGGTGGCATATGGAGGAAATGGTGTCTATAAATGGTTTTTATAAAACACAGATTTTCTACAATGTTCTTTGTAATAACACAGCTTTTTTCTGCTTTGTTTTCCTGTTTCTGAGTAGAATGCTCTTGTGTTGCAGTTAGTAACTGCCCTTGGTTAGACATACTCAGTGATGGCAGTGATGGAGGACACACATGAGGAAGGGAAGTTAATTTTTGTTCCATTTTTTGTCCTAGTAAAATAAAAAAGTAGAGAAGTTTTACTCTAAGGCCCCATAATGCCTTGTGCATGGTTGAACTGATGTTTTTAAAAGAATGTCTGCTATAGTTTGGAATGGTCCGGACACCTGTTCTAGGATGTTATGGAAGTAGTCATGTAAATTATTACTGTAAGTTATGTATGAACATTCAGAAACCAATAATTCAATTTCATTTAATTCATTTCCCATGGACTTAAATAAGGATTGTTTTCTAGACCAAACAAAATGGATCTTCCAGGTTCTTCTGGAAACTGCCCCCAAGCTTAAAAATTGCAGGGAAGCATGCTATTGTTCTTTGTAACTATTTGTGACTGCTACAGCTCTTACATCAGGAAAACAGGCTCAATTGAAGCCAACACCATACTTCACAAAAGGTTAAACATTTTAATTTACTTTAGATGTTCGTTTGCCTTTTCAATCAGTTCTCTTCTTCAATAAAGCACACTTCACACACCAGTACAATATGACCAAATGAATCACTATGAATCTTACTGTGCTAATGCTATTTACAGTATCTGGCATAGCAATTATTCTAGACAAGTTATGAGCAAATTCAAAAACTTTTACAAAAAAACAAACAATTTAATGCAATGCTTACATACAAAAATATACATTCTAGAAACGAAACATAGTTTTCTTCCTTTCCCATGCATTTTTGGTTGTAGTGTATAATTTCTAGAGCGTGCATGTTTGGGGAACCAGTTTCAAAAGGAATACACTAAACTGGCCTGTTCTGTTTCTGATAGTGAATTTTCTGCAGATTCTCAAAGCACACCAACAGGCCACTGAAAGTGATAGCTGGATCACATGGCAATATCTGATACTTTACCTGTCCGGTTGATTTTGGACACCAGCATGTGCGAGTGCAGCACCTCATCTTCATCCTGCTCATCGATGACTTTGCACTGGCGCAAGTAGGGGGTTAACTTGTTGGGACTGATATAGCGAGCAAGGATATAACGATTGTTCTCCACATTTTCCCACAATGCCTCTTCATCTTCCTTCACTGTCTCTGTGCACCCACTCTCCATCCTCTGGCACCTTCGCAACCTACTGGAAAAATAAATTACCTTATATTTGCTGCAGCAACACACAGATCTTTATTGTATTAATATTTCACGATATGTCTGTTTCAAACGGATCTTAAAATACCACATCCCTTAACACTGGCTGACAAACTTCATTTTGTTATTCAGTATTTGCACCTGAAATTAAAGCTTTTCTCATTTAATTGCAATTAATAACAATAATAAATAAAAAAATATGTTTGTTCCAAATTTAACTGAACAATCTGTATTCTTATCTTATTCGCCAGTCAAACACAACTAAACAGCAAACTGTACATCTTTCTCTGAAGACAATATATTTTCTAAAAGGAAATGTACCCAGAAAATACAGAAGGCAACCTTATATCTGCTGCTTAAGCACCTCAAGAGTTGTTCCTTGATCATATGGGTAGGGATAATATCATGCTTAGTTCCCCAGTTTAGAAAGCTAGTCAGGGCCTGTTTTTAACTTATAACCTTCAATCTGAAGACAAATTAATGACAGTATTTGTTGTATTCCTTTTATTCTTTGTCAATATAATAAGCTGTGTTTAAAACTGGATATGTTTGATATCAGATAGACCAGAATTTCTAAATCATCCAGGAGTCTCCTGGATCTGATTAACACTCCCCTGCCAGCTGAGAGTGTGAGCAGGCCTCCTGGATGTGAGTGTGAAGTCTGCAGAGGGGAAGCGGATGTGCGTAAACCCAACCCTCCACCACATCTATCTCTGCCAGTAAGCAGCATATGCGCAGAAAAGACCCCCCCACCCCCACTCCCACTGGTGGTGAGCAGAACACATCAAGGGATGGGGTGAATCCAGTAGAAATCTAGGTTTTAAACTTGAGCTGTCTATGATACTGCAATCAATTTCAGAAACCTTTTTTTCTAGGGGGACCTGCACAAAAATACTTGACCTTAAATCACATTTGGGAAAGTAAGGAAAAAAGGGAAAAAAGCAAGCTGAGTCGGGAGAAACAATGTCACGGCAACAGTTAACAACCTAGCAAATGTTCTGCCATCCCCAAGTGATGAACGTCTTTTTTGTTTCAAATCTGGGTGAAATTAAAAACATGAGCAGGAAACACCAGAGCAAGCACTCCTCCACATGACGTTAAAAGGTAAACCACAGGCAACTGCACATGCATGCTTTATCACAAGTACAGTAGAGCCTTTTTGTAAAAAAGCATTGTCCCTTGACAACTGGGAACATTTATTTCCTATATTTGCATTTCAATCTTCCATGCTGTTGCAGAGTTAGACTAGAAGTGTTACTCCACTTTAAGTGGTATTCCAACCACATTCTGAAGATTAAAAAATATAGCATGTTACACAGAAAAACAAAATATAAAAATAAACTCAAATATGAGTCTTCATAGTTCATGCAAATACTCAATGTTGTTATTGGCAAGGTTATTTGATTTAAAAAGTAGTCCTGTCACTTACTGGCATTAAACCACACGTAAATGAGAGCTACTGCAGAACATTACTTCCTAGATTTAATCATCATTCCATAGTGACTGACTTCCCTTACAAAAATCTGCAAAGTTTTTTCATGTAAGGGACAGCTCTCTTCCTTGTTGGGTCCTCTGATTTCTAAGAAATTTACTACACCACCTGCATTTTGCTGTTTAGCAACTTCTTGATATTGAAATGGCTGATTCTACGGTTGTCTATATTGCCCATTGTTTTTGATTGTTTTCCTGAAAATGCAAGCTAACAATGTCAGAATTAACAACTTATGAAAGACTGAAAGAGAGGAAACGAAACAAGGAAGCAGTTCAGTGTCACACTAGGTTATATCCCTAATCAGCAAAGCACACCTGTGTGTAATCATTGTAAAATAAAAACTGTATTTCTCACAAAAGGTCGTTAGGAATAAAAATGAATAATTAAGAATTAACCAGGGTTAACAGCTATCCATTGATAATACTGTGAATTAATTTCGAAAGCACAAGTCCTAGGAATGACCTTAAAAATAAGATGGAGGTCACAATCAAAAGATAATACACTTATTGCACTTCCTACATGGATGGCACTGTGAGAAGGTTTTACTCTTTAAGGTTCTACTTTTCCCCATTAACTACACACATGGAAAAAATTAAATAAAGTATGAGTAAGATAAAAAAACATTCTTAATGATTCTAGTTTTTTTTCAATGAACTTTACAGCTTGTGAATGTGAAAAATTATGTGTATAGGCAGATTTTATTAGGAGAGTCAAATCATACATGTATCATATGTCAGCAAAAATCAACAAATAACAGCCTCTGAGCAGAAAGAGAAAGCAGAAAGAGCAGAAAAGCCTCTTTTGCATATTCTACACCTCACCTACAAAGATGTACATAGCCACGGTTTGTGGTTCATCACCTTTGCAGGCACAGTCCCTGCTTTGTTTTTTTTACTTATTGCAACTTTGCAAATAAAAAGATATCTGATATCACCCCAGTTCCTACAATGGCATTTGCATATGACTTTCATCTTTCATTATCTTGCTTTACCAACTTTAAAAATCGAATGCTAGCTGATGAAGTTTGCTAATTATGTGGAGACAACTGCACCTTTTTCCATCCTCAGAGCCTGGATGTGAATGGCTGTTAGTTAACTGCAGTCTTGCTCACTTCAGGTATGTCCTTTTTCAGGCCATAAAGGCCCATGGGGAACGGGGGGCAAGGGCCTTCTTTGACCACCCGACACTGGAGATGGAGGTGATGTAGTCAGCTTCACGCTCTGGCCGGCCTATTACCCCTGGAAAGATTAACCCCCCAGGTACTCACTTGGAAAGCAGGCTGAGTGGACCTGGGAGCCCTCTGGAAGGGATTAGAGCAAGCTACATCACTTGCCTGTACCTGAGATTGAACCCAAGACCCCCAGTCAGGAGCTAGACAGCCTTGCCGTCTGAGCTATCATGGCTCCCTTGCTCACTTTGGGAGGCGTATATTTATAAATATAGCCTGCCCACTAGGGTGGAACTCTAAAATCTGAAAAAAAGAAAATTAAAAAAATCCCAAACTGAAGATTGCAATGCAGAAATTGTGGCCTTACATAGCTCTGTGTAAAATTTTACAATTGCATTTAAAGAAAAAGTGTTAAATTTAAGCAAACTGACCAAATTTTCACTGCTGTTACTTCATGTGCTTCTACAGCACAATTTTTTTGGTAAAAAACATTTATGTATGCTGAGTGTCTTGTGATATGCGATGTTATAGCAAAGACAAAAATGTAAATACAGAAATTTGCTCTAGCCATTGTTAATCATATTTGGTACCATGCTAATGATGTCCTTGATGAAGCCACAAAAACGTTTGAGCATCTCTTTTTATTCCTTATGCAACACAGTAAAAACAATGTGATAAGAGAACAATACTTTGAAGATTCAATATTTATTTTCATCTGGATGTGAAAACATTTTTCATAATAAGGGTTTTTAACTTTTCATGAGATTTCAAACAATATTTCACCTAACATACTGTATTAATTACATGCCCTGTGATTCACTTTTTGTGACAAATATTTTTACCAAAAGAAGCCTATTGGGCAGTCTACATGTAGAGTTTAAGCATAAATCTGTATTGAATTAATCTTCCTTTTACAAAATATTTTTTCAGTAAAATAATTTCTTATGGTATGATCTGCAAATTTTACATTGATATTGGTATATGTCAAATTATACTGCAAAACATGAATTTTACATAAGGCAACTTTATGTAGAAATGCCTTATTTGTACATGCTGAGTTTTCATTAGCATTGCAAAAACAATAATAGATGATTTTTCAGACAAATCAAAGATAAAAATTTCAAGCTTCATGTTAGATTTCTGGTTTCATCATGCATACTCTTGCCCTTAATAACAGTATTTTCCCAGTGGATGTGAAAAAGCTCTAATAGAGTAAAATAAATTGATAAATTGACATTATGATAAATCTATTTTACATCTAAAGCAATTCACATTCACATAATAACATATTATTAGTTTCAGTTACCAATTTTATATACATATAATTTTTGGTACAAAGCTCAGTTGGCTCAAGGGTACAGCAACAGTGTCTCGACATTGGATATCAATCCTTAACCCTTTTGGAGACGTCTAGTGCAATAACCATTTTTCTACACTGTAGCTCATCATAAATAGCAAACTGTGGCAAAATAAGTGTAAATCAATTTCTTCATTTAAATTTAAAGAAAAAAGTGAAACTACATGCAGTAGCCCTGATTTTTGTGCAAATTGTGTAACAATAAATAAATAGCTCATCAGTGTAAGAAATGAGAGCACTAACTAATTTCAAGAATGCTCTGTGTCCTTTGAGGTAGAAAAGAAAGCTAATAGACCACAATTAGGTGGTAATCCCAGCACCTTTTCATTCATAAAATAAAACTGCTCTTGAGCATTTAAACACTTTCATAAAGAGCCAATATAGTACTATGATCTAACTTAATTAATTTCCATATGCATCTGGCTTTGAAGACTAAGTATTCAATAATGCATAAGAAGCATGCATAAAAGCAGTAGAAAATATTTTTAATTACAACTGATTATTATTTATATCTTAAATATCAATTAAATTTATGTAAAAACAAGAAATTATGTCTGCAGTATTCTTTAACTAGATTTAATTTAGCATTTTCTCTAGTAATGCATGAAAAATACATGTAAATTTAGGTATAATTTAAAGGAGCTTTGTGTAGCTAATTCCTAAATGTGCATGTCACAAAGGAGTTTAGTGGTTGCCACAAAATCCTGTCTCCACAATAGGTCCAATTTTTGCCAGGTTTGCAAGTGTTCACTTGCCCTGCCATGCAGCTGCAAGGGCTCATGGTAAGATGTTATCTGCTCTTATTTTGGAATAAGTGACTAATGAAGCCGTCTTTAGTTCCTCATTTCTTTAACAGATGTGTTGGCCTGTCTTAGCCAGCAAAGATTTTGCAGCCCACATATATGGCATCCTGTGTGACATAGTGAATCAGAGTTCCAAAGAAAGAATAAGAATAAAACATCTATTCATCTG